AGAAAGGCGGGGCATAGAGGAGAAACAATAATGTACAGTATGTGGAAAATAATGTTTTTTTTTTTACTTTAAACCGTATAAACACATTTCATTGCACCAAATACATCAAATAATGTTCTTTTTAGCAACATCATATGACCCCTTTAAAATTTAGTTTTTTTAAAAATTTAATTTGTCACATTATTTTCATGGCATAAAACAGATTTTTATTACCATGATGCACAAAATCTCTTTCTCATTACTGTACTCAGAACAAAAGTATTGATATATTTGTTAAAATGTAAAGTGTTCATAAATCATACTACAGCGAGAATAAAAGTTACGCCTTCTTTCTTTGCGTGAACATTTGTGCGGCGTTATGCACATCTTCCCACATAGTGATGTAGATATGTGGGGGCGTGTTCGAACGAGCCGTTTTAGGTAGGCGTGGTTAACTCTTAACTTTTATAAAGAATATCTCTTTGGATTTGAGACTTTAGTCTTTGCAACTTTACAGATCTTCTTTATGCACCAAGAGCTTGTAACACTCCAAAGAGAAAGGAAAACTTGAAATCGCATCATATGACCCCTTTAAATTATAAAGTCGGCATTAAATGGAAGTTGCAATGTGTCCTTATTGTGACGTATATCTGAGTGAAATGGCTTTCAACAAAAAAATGTAAGGCGGGATTTAATCCATTTTTTGAGTTGATTCAATAGTTGGATCGATGTTGTTTGCTATTGGTGCGTTCTCATGTGAGTGACAGGTTGTCCCACTCCCTCTCGCCGATACACATGTCACCAGAGAAGAGATGCCATTGCAAAGGAAGTTATTTTGATTAAAGATTACGAGGGCACATGAATAATAAAAAAAAAATACAAATGTGCTCGGATTAATCATTTATAATAAACACTGCAATATTCAATATATATATATAAAAAAATAATTGTCAGTTTTGATTTTATGGTTCTTTTATTTATTTATTTGTTTGTTTATTTATTTATCGATCTATCTCTCTATCTATCCACCTTTTTTATTTTTGTGTGAAATATAGCCTGGACATGTTTTTGTGTTACCCAGGCCAAGAGCTGAAGTTGATGTGTTAAACTGTAAATCACAGAAAGTAGCGTCTTACGTGAGCCCATCAACCCTGTGACCTCCGAAATCACGTTAGCATTGATTCTGGTTCCCACTATCAGCTCTTAGTGTTATTTATCAGCACGTTTGACGAAACAACAGAAACACAACTTGGATTACACCCGTCTGATCCTTAAATTGCATTATGACTGAGCATCCGTCGCAAAATATTCAGTAGTTGTGCCTGAAAGGACAGCAGAAAGTGAGATGGAGTATGATAGTGCAGTGCCAGTGAAATCGATCAGTCAGTTAGACTAAAGGAGAGCGAGCGAGCGAGAGAGCTTTCAAGGACATGAAAGGAGAAAGGAAAAGGAGGATAACTGGATTATATCAATCCATTTGTTGTTTGTGGGTAATGGGGTCTAGATAATGGATTTTAAATACATGAAGTACAGTACAACATGGGGAACAGTAATGCACTGTTTAATATCAGCCGCAGGTGGCAGTTAAGTATAATAATCAGTTTGCATTATATACACTATCAGTCAAACGTTTGGAATAATTAAACACAAAATCAGCATATTAGAGTGATTTCTGAAGGATCATGAGACACTGAAGACTGGAGTAATGATGCTGAAAATTCAGCTTTGATCACAGGAATAAATTATATTATTAAAATATATTACAATAGAAAACAGTTACTTTAAATTGTAATAATATTTCACAATATTACTGATTTTACTGCATTTTTGATCAAATAAATTCAGCCTTGGAGATCATAAGAGACTCAAAAAAACCTTCTGACAACAGGATTTATTTCAATGCCCATGTTGCTGTATTTTTGATCAAATGAATGCAGCCCTGGTGAGCAGAAGAGACTTCTTTCCAAACTTTTGCCTGGTTTATTCTTCTCATTCAGCTTGAAAATGTAATGTTTTGGAAACTGACAAACTTGCAAGGTATTCAACGTAGAGTCTGTATGATATATTAATATCTGATTCACATTATATTCATGCAGACACTTTTAAACATTCACTGGGATTCGAACCCATGACCTTGGCGTTGCTAGCGCCATAATCTATCGCTTCAGATAGACACGAAAGACGGCAAACTAACCATCATGGAACCACAAGACGCATGGACGACTCAACTCACAACTGATTTCAATAGAATGTGGTGTTAGCATGGTGCTATGCTAACTACATGATAAATACTGAAATTTCAAAATTATTTACCAAATTCACATTTCAAAAACATATTGCAAATCAGATCTAAAATTTGACATGAATGGTATCATATATGTTGTTTTTACCTTCAAATTATGCAAAAAAAAAAGTGTATATCAGGTCGGTACAGTCGATGCACATGTAGTGTTTAGAGCAATGGCTGAGCAAAAGTTTTGTCGACTGCTTCTTTTGCTGGCTTCATGTGCTATCGGAAACTTCCTGCTTCCCACTTCTGAAGTTATAATTATTATCGAGGTCAAACTGACCTCTCTCGTGATTCTCTCGTGCAGAGAATGTACAGAAACGTGCAGATTTTGATTAAAGATTACCAAGACACGGATTAACTTGCATGGATTAATTGTTCAACTCAAGATGTGTGCTAAGAGAGTCCATTTTGATTTCATGTTTCTCCACATTTTGTTTCCGATCAAATGTCTGCCCCCAGTCTGGTTGTGTTTGACCGTGACATCTTGTGTTGGCTCTCAGGGAACAGATCAAACGGGTGAAGGACTCGGATGATGTGCCCATGGTGCTGGTGGGTAACAAATGTGACCTCCCGGCCCGGACGGTGGACACGCGACAAGCTCAGGAGCTCGCGCGCAGCTACGGGATCCCCTTCATCGAGACCTCGGCCAAAACACGACAAGTGAGTTTCTGTCAGGCAGTTAAAGAATTATTTATTTATTTGTCATTTTATTTTATTTATTTATTGGAACAAAACTAGTCAGACTGTGTCCAAAATCCATATTTCTTAAAGTATAGTCATCTACATTTGTACTTTTGTATACCCACCTACAGTACAGTATTTCTTCAGTATTTTTTGTTTTGTTTTGCTTTGCTTTAATTCCTTTCTTTTCTTTTTTTTGTGTTTTATGTGTTTTTTGTTTTTGCTTTTTTTGTTTTTCATTGTGGTTTTGTTTTGTGCAGAAAATGTCATTTTTACTAGTGTTAATTTCATTATTTGATGTAAAATCACGTAAATAAATTTTTATTTATTTATTTATTTAATATAGTTCTTGTTAACTATAATAACCCTGCCTCAAACTAGAAATAGCACACATTATTGCAAAGCAATATTTTAGTATGTGTGAAGGAGATAAGATATGCATTTAATTGTGACATTTTTTGTAAATATAAAGTCTCATATTTAAAAAGACTTATGTGTAATGAAGTACTGTGCACAAGTGCTGATTGTTTCTTCTTGAAGATTTTACAGTTTGTTGCTTTCAGGGACAACATTTATGATGGATCTATACTTTGGCTTTCTGAGTCTAGAGTTAGTCTCAGGGATTTTATAAGTTTAACAGTTCTGGAAGATTCCTTGGATTTACAGTGTTTAGTGCTGTAATTCTCCTCACAGCCACCCACACACACACCCACACTCATACACACACACACACACACCTACACACACACACACCCACACTCATATACACAC